GTGACTTTTTCAGGCTGATGTTCCCACCAGTTTGTTGCTGTTTTAATATTATAATTTTTGCACAAATTCCAATGGAACATTTGTGCTTTATTATTATTATTATTATCATCATCATCATTCACTTATGGTTCTAATTTACCACCAGATTTCCCCAAAGATTCCCAATGGTTTACAATATATCCAATAAAAACATAAAACTAGTACACAATATACACAAATAAATAAAATCCATAAGCTCCATTATGCCCACACAATTAAATTTTGTTCGTCTTCAAAACTCATCCATACCTTTCTTCTCCTCTTCCATAACAGCCTTGACAGAAGGCTTCATCCCTTTCATCTCAAATCAGTATCTAGCCCATGAATGGCTTCATTATGTCCAAGGCCTGTCCCTTTAATTGCTGGCTCTGAGAAGAGGAGAAAGCATCACTATTCATATAGTACCTCATCAAGCCACATATAAATCTGTCAGATGCCATTTGCACATGCTAAGCTTCATTGCTTTTAATATTGGGTCTGCTTTTTTGTGTGTGTTCTATTGAGTAAGTGAACTAAGACCATGAGGTCCACTTGTGATTCAATTTATCATGCAAGCTCAGAAAATGGTTTAATTCAATGACCAGTAAAACATTGCAGCCAAAGTGTCGAAACAACTTCAGGTGATAATCAGTATGTTTATGATTGGAAAGAGCATATAAGCAGAAATGATAAGTAGTTGAGTTCTCCAATCCTTTACTGAGTTCCATGATGACTTCAAAAAACCTTTCCATAGTGCCCCCCTCCCCCAAATGAAACAACTGATTTCTAACTAAGTAGCACCTTGAATTGGAGAAGTTAAATAAATGCAGTTCCTTCAGAACTGATTACTGATGTAATCCTTGAATTTAGAGAGGCCTTTTAACCAGTCCCATCCCCTATTCAACAGACATAAAGCATCTGGTTGCATGTAGATTTTAACTGTTACCATTTTACAGATTTTTTTAAACAATGTATTTTATTGGCAATTTTGGAAAGGCATGGAACCTGAGCTTTGGTAGCCATAAACTGATTGATTTCATTAGCTATGCTTTTTCTAAATTTTTACTGTACAAAGGCATGTAATTATTGGTTATATTAAGTTTTAATTATTTGTCAACTGGATACATGTTGTGCACCTAGCTGAAAGTTATCATTATGAACAGAGGAAGGTAGACTCAGCCTAGCATCCTTCCAAGGTCGGTAAAATGAGGACTCAGATTGTTGCAGGGGGAGGGGGGGGCAATATGTTGACTCAGTAAACCGCTTAGAGAGGACTATAAAGCACTATGAAGCGGTATATAAGTCTAAGTGATTTTGATAATATCAAATGAAAGCATTCCTAACAGATAGCTCTCCAGTCTCCGCTTGAACATATCCAATGATTACTCCATTTATTTTATGCCAGTGTTTCTCAACCTTGGCAGCTTGAAGATGGGTGGACTTCAACTCCCAGAATCCCCCTGCCAGGCTAGCTGGTGGGAGAATTCTGGGAGTTGGAAGTCCACCCACCTTCAAGCTGCCGAGGTTGAGAAACAATGTTCTACACACATTACCTAAAATTTCAAGAGTTACACTTGATAGAACTACTTTGATGCACTGGTTCATGCATCAGGATGGAAATGGGAAGACCATGAATTTTAATTCCACCCTAGGCACAAAGCCGTCTGGGGTAACCTTGGGTCAGTCACATTCTCTGAGCCCTAGGAAAGAAGCACAGGTAGTCCTCGACTTACAAACACAATTGAGCTCCAAATTTCTATTGCTAAGTGAGACGTTTGTTAAGTGAGTTTTGCCCCATTTTATCACCCTTCTTGCCACACTTGTTAAGCGAATCACTCCCGTTCATACATTAGTAACCCCCGGTTGTTAAGTGAACCTGGCTTCCCCATCAACTTTGCCTGTCAGGAGGTCACAAAAGGCCATCACATGTCCCTGGGACACTGCAACCGTCATAAATACGAACCAGGTGCCGAGCGCCTGAGTTTTGATCACACGATCCGTCGGAACTGTGACAAACGGTCCTGAGTCATGTCTCCCGGTGCCGGTGTCGCTTTGAACGGCCACTAAACGAGGGGTTGTAAGTAGAGGACGACCTGTGATGCCAAACCACTTCCGGAAAAACCTTCCCACAAAAAACCTGCGTGTGGGGCCCCAGGAATGTCAGGAGGGGCGTGCATAAGCGCACCAGTGTGCCTACCGTCCCTGTCCTACCGTCCCCATTTATTTGTACCCATTTCCTGTGTTCTTATTGATGTTTATTCTTATCCCTGTCACCTTGTACATGAGTGACGAACTAAATAAATACAGAAATAAAAATCAAAAAACCGACCCGAAGCCACAAAATAACGCAGAGTAAACAATACGTTTATAGACCCCTTCGAAGCTGCCGAAATCTAACAGGAGGCTAATAAATTCAGTTAAAAAAAAACAAGGCGGAAATCGTACAAACGCGCCCAGCGAGCCGTCCGTAACCGAAGCGGGAAAGCACCGCGGAAAACCCGACGGTTCCCAGGGCAGAGCGAGTGGGCGGCCGGCTACGACGACGCAATCTCCGCTCCAAAAGGGCCACGAGCCTCGCTCTCCAACGAACCCCCTCTGTTATAAGGTGACGGCGGAGCTCCGACCTCTTTTTCCGGCAGCCGCCCGTATGACTCACCTTTGCGACAGGTTGTTTTTTCCCCACTGCGCGGCGGCGATCCGGCGCGGGATCTCGAGATCAAGGAAATAATGGGGATCTTAAGCTAGAGGAGCCACGCAAAAAGGAGGAGGTCCTTCAAGCAGCCCCCAGCCCGACCGACTCCTCCCACTCCCAGCCTCGGAGGAAGCGGAAAGAGGAGAGGCGATTGTTTCCCCTTCCTGGTTGCCTAGGTGACGCAAAGTTTTATTACGCAAGCGCCGCTTTGCACCCTCCGCCCCCCTTTCATTCTCGCTACCCGCCAAGAACATAGTCAGGCTTTTCTTTAGAATGGGGTCTCTGACGTCACAGCCTCCGTAACGATAATAAGCTCTATGTCGAAAGGATGGCTGGGTCAAAGTTCACCAGGACTACTGGGCGGAGATGGGGAAAACGATGGCCCTTTTATGACTTGTGGAACTTCAACTCCCAGAATTCTGGCTCAGGAATTCTGGGAGTTGAAGTTCCTCAAGTCAATCATAGGTCCATCGTTTCCCCCACCCTGTGCTGTGGACAGAGAAAAGCCGGAACGGCCATTATCTCCTCTCGGGCAAGACTCAGGCCGGTGGCATCTTCGAAAATGTTTTCTAAGCGACGGTACAGGGTAGCAGAATAATATGGCGGTATTGTTCGGCAGCCTAATTTTGAGAGAAGACAAGCCCGTTCAGTGGAGGAAAATATTCTAATAGTTCCCATGCCCCACCAACGGAGGCGATGTTTAGGGAGCCGTTCTTCTTTTCCAACCTCTCTTTCTCTCTCTTCCGTATCTCTATGGTCAAAAACTCGGCTCCCCACCCTTTTTTTTTTGAGCCAGAGAAAGCCCCGGAAGTCAAAGAAAACGGATGAGACGGCGGCAAAATGGCAGCTGCCGGCGGGGCAGCGAGTTCTGCATCCGGAGCCCCAATATGCGTCCTGGTGCTGGGCATGGCTGGTTCTGGCAAGACGGCGCTGGTGCAGGTGCGGGCGGAGCGGGAAGGGGGAATCGGCCCCGAGGAAGAAGGCCTTTAAGAGGGCTGCTTGGTCCCCTTGCTGGCTTTCTTTGACCTATGGCTTGTTTTCCATAGAGGCTGATTGCCTACCTGCATAGTAAGAATTCTCCTCCGTATGTCATCAATCTGGATCCCGCCGTTTACGAGCTGCCTTTCCAGGCCAATATCGGTGAGTATATACGGTGGTTGTCTCAGTGCTTGGCCAGTTATTTTCTTCAGAAAAATATAAGAGTATTTATTGGTTTTGCTATAAAGAACATGAAATAAAAGAAAGATCATGGCACACACTTGAAAGTAAATCAGGAAGACTGTAATTGTGGGGTCTGTCTGGCAAGAATAAAGAATGCTTATCCACAGGAAATATGCATGTATAAAGCTTGTAACAATTATGGTAGTTAGAAAGCTGGTAAAATGGGTAGTTAGAAAGCTGGTAAAAGTAACAAGTTAGACAACTTGCAGACCTCAGCTAAAAGTTGGGAATAGAGATGACCTGCAGCAAATGAAATGTGTATTAGATAACTCCTGGGGGATTCATTAGCCAAGGCCTAGGACCAATAGAACAAATTGTAGAATTATTACTAAAATGTTTATTAGATATTATCTTGCCTTGTCCGGGCTCCTCCTTTAGTGAAAATGTATAAAGCTTACTTAATTCTTTGTTCTTGGCATTTTGGCCAGGAGCCCTTTTCCTTGGGGTATCCCAATAAAAAGCAATAAAAACCTGCACCTTGTGTCTGGTGTCCTTCATTGGCTTCGGCACCAGCCTCAGACCCGAACTGGGGACAACACACAAACATGCAAATCTTTGGTTCAGGGTAAAATTTAGGGACTGCAGATATCCAAGCAACTGCGCAGTATGTAAGCTGCCACACGTTTAGCCCATATGGCCACCTATAGGGGCATGGTGGCTCCTTCACCTTTCCTCAGTTCTAGGTGCCATAGATCAAGCAGAATGTATCCCACACAGGGATGCTATTATTCAAAGTACCTTTACTATTGTCAACTAAATGGAGTTGCTGTCAGATGTGAGAAGATAATAGTTCTCCTTATGATTGCAGAGCATAATTGGAGCAGCTCAGTATTTGCAGGCTTGTTCTGTATATAACAAAGGAATAAATGGTAGGTTTTATTCTGTTTTAAAGAATTTAAATCATATTGAACTGGATCTCATTAATATGAATGGATGAGTACACCTGATTAAACTTGCATACATTCTACAGTCCTATATTAATTAAATCTTTGCTGAAAGTTGCTTAGGATCGATTGTAAATCTGTGTGTTTATGATTTCCATGTTTACCTGACATGAAATTACCTAGAGCAGGGGTGTCAAACTAGTGGCCCTGAGGCCGGATGTGTCACATGCAGGCCACTCCCAGTCTGGCTTCACAAACGCAAAAAATGTCGCAATATGTCGTGATATGTCTCATGACACAATTGAGTTTGACACCATGACTTAGAGCACAGCTGTCAAACTCAAGACCCATGAAGTAGATGCGTCACACACTGGCCACGCCCATCCCCTTTTAGTGAAGGGGGGGGAAGTCACGATACATCATGTGATGACAATGTGATGCCGCAAGTTTGACACCTCAGAACTAGACAGTCTTATGGAAATATTAGAGCTGCACATAAGATGAACAAGTTTTGAGAAAGTAGGAAACATTGGGGAGGATGTTACATTTAAAGGTAAATTATGTTTGTTTATACATTCAAGTAGAACAGTAAGCTAACAATAAGATATGTTCCTTTTAAATTTGTTTTAAAATCATACTTTGTATAATTTCCATCCTCTCTGTTTTCCTTTTTTCTTTTTTAAGATATCCGGGACACAGTGAATTACAAAGAAGTCATGAAGCAGTATCCTTGCCTTATTTGACTATTTCTTCAAAATGTAACATCACTTTTTATTTGTGTGTGTATATTGCTGGATGTTCATGCTGTTCCATTTGTGTCTGACTCTGTAGTATAGCTTTTATTGATCTCTTGTGGGATTGTGCTGGGGA